GCCTGGGGGCGGGGCCTCGCGCGGGGGCGGGGCCTCTGAGGGAGCGGGAGGGAGGTGGGCCCAGACTCTTGCTCTTTCTAGTTCGGAGCCCGTGGGTCTCAGCTTCCCCGGAATGGGTACAGTGATTGTTGTGCGCACGCGCGCACATAACTAAACATAAACCACCCACAGCAACACCGATGAATTTCCCAGACCCAGTGCTGAGAGAAGCCAGACAACCAGGCCCCATTCTGTATAATTCCATCTGTGAACGGCTGCGACCACTCTATGGTGTTAGAAGCCAAGAGTCGGGGCGCCTCTGGGGAAGAGAGGGTGGGGTGGGGGACGCGAGGGAGCTTCCTGGGGACTGGTGTCAACTTCCACTGACCCATCAGGGGGCTGGTGACACGGTGTGTACAGTTTGGCAGTGCACGGAGCCCTGCACTTCTGTGTCCTTTTCTGGACGTGTGCTAGGTGCTGATACGAAGTGTAGTGAAGTGTTTGGATGTCCGTTCCTCCTTCCCAGGAGGAAATGCTAAATGCAGCCTGACCCTGCAAGCGGTAAGGTGCTCCTGGCACCTGCATTTTCAGCCAGAATCCAGCCCACCCGCTGGCCATTCCCATGTTGCGATGGGCAAGCTGTCTTTGACAGTTTATGACCCTTGGTTCTTCCAGGAGGGAGGGGGTTGGCGGTATCTGCTTTATTCATGGCTGTATCCCCCACCCCACACACACACGCTGCCCCTTGCAGGCTGCAGTGCTCAGTGCAATTTGGATTTAATTCCCTGGTAACCTTATCCAGGTTTTAAATACCCTCATAGAGACTAGCACCTCTTAGATTTTTATCTTCACCCTCGTCCAGTGATGGCGAACCTTTTGAGCTCGGCGTGTCAGCATTTTGAAAAACCCTAACTTAACTCTGGTGCCGTGTCACATATAGAAATTTTTTGATCTTTGCAACCATAGTAAAACAAAGACTTCTATTTTTGATATTTATTTTATATATTTAAATGCCATTTAACAAAGGAAAATCAACCAAAAAAAATGAGTTCGCGTGTCACCTCTGACACGCGTGTCATAGGTTCGCCATCACTGCCCTCATCTCTCCCCTAAGACCAGGTCTTATTCACGTAGCTGTCTCCCTGACACTTTTACTTGGCATCTCCAGGCGTTTCAGACAAGGTCTGTCCGAGATGGAAATTGCATTTCCCCTTCTAAACCTGCTCTTCCCGCAGTCCTCAACCTCTTGGGGAAAGGCACTGCCCAGGTGCCCGGGCCCCAAACCTGGAGGCATCCTTGGCTCCTTTTTTTCTCCCACCCATTCACGTTATCTGTCATCAAACCTCCTGGTCCTACCTTTGACATACATGCTGAATGTATTTTGGGCCACTGCCACTGGTCCAAGCCGCCATCACCTCCTGTCTGCATTATTTCAGTAGCACCTAAGTCAGATCATGACACTCCACTGCTCAGCATCCTCCCATGGCTCCCCATTACCCCTGGAGTAAAATACAAACTCTTCAAGGTGGCCTCAAGGCTGCCCCTGCTAATTCCATGAATTCATCTCGTAACACTGCCCTCCTTACTTTCTTTGGTCCAGCCATGCTTGCCTGCCCTCTGCCCCTGGAACAAACCCAAACTCCCTCCTACCACAGGGCCTTTGCACTTGCTGCTCTTGGCTGCCTGGAATGCTGCCCCAATCTCCCCTTCTCATAGTTAGCTCCTTCTTGTTATTTGGATCTCAGCTTAAATGCCATTTCCTCCCTTGTCTGAAATTTCCTCGTTTATTTATGTGTTTATGTTTCATGTCCGTCTCCCCGAAAGAATGTCAGCTCCTTGAGAGTAGGGTGTAAATCTCTCTTATTTATAGTTTTATCTTGGGTGTGTAAATAGTGCTTGACTCACAGGAGAGAGTCCCCTTTCTGTTGCATAATATAAAGAAAAATAGCCTAATAGTCGGCTGAAACTTGGGGGCTGGGGAGGACAAATGAGACTTTGTCCAAAAATGAAACCTCTGAGATAAGAGCTAACATTTATTGGGCACTTTCTCTGTGCCAGGCACTGTTTTAAGAGCTTTCTGTATATTCATTTAATCCTTAAAGAACCCATAAGGGGATACGATTATGATACTAGTATGTTCTTTCCTAGACACCTGCTTAGCTCATCTCTTACCCCCTTCAGGTGTTTACCATAATATCACCTCACAGAGGCCTTCCCGGCCCACCTATTTCAATTTGTACCTCTTGCACCTTCCTTACTTCCCTTCCCTGATTGATTTTTCTCCTAAGCACTGACTGACTTCTAACCAACTCTATATTTTACTACTTAAGATGTTCAGAGAGGCAGGAAGTATGGTGCTAAAAGCATGAACTCTAGAGCCACACTGGCCTGGGTTTGACTGTGAGTTCTGCAACTTGCTAGCTGTGTGACTTTAGACAAGTTGCCTAATCTATCTGTGCTGCAACCGCCTCAAACAGAAAACGGGACGTAACAGGATGTACCTGACAGAGTCTTGAGAGGGCTAACTTCATTAGTGGTGGTTTTATTTGTTTTTTAATTGATTTGAGAAAGAGGGAGACAGAGAAACAGGGATTGGTGATCGGTTACCTCCCATATGCACCGAACCCTCAACCCGGATATGTGCCCTGATCCAGAATTGAGGTGTCCTGGACAAAGCTCTAACCAACTAAGCCACACCCGCCAAGGCTAAATTCATTAGCTTTTTATTTTATTTTATTTTTTAAAATGTATTTTTATTGATTTCAGAGAGGAAGGGAGAAGGAGAGAGAGAGAGAGAGAGAGAGAAACATCAATGATGAGAGAGAATCATTGATTGGCTGCCTCCTGCACACCCCACACAAGAGGCATTGAGCCCACAACCCAGGCATGTGCCTTTGACCGGAATCGAACCTGGGACCTTTCGGTCCGCAGACCAACGCTCTATCCACTGAGCCAAGCCGGCCAGGGCTCATTAGCTTTTTAAAGTACTTAGAGCAGTGCCTGGCACAGAGTGACTGCTGGACTGGGTGACCGTTAAGTAAGAGTATTTCTTGTATTTACTTTGCTGCCCTCACTGGAGGCTGGGCAGGGATTTTGTCTGATGTGCTATCCCTACTGCTTAGAACATTTTCGAGATGAAAAAAAACTGAGGTGCAAAGATGTTTGTCTTTTCCTCTTGATAATCAGGCTCTACTCCAGACCGAGGAGATCAGAAACTCTGAGGGTGGGGCCCAGGCATCTGTATTTTTTTATTTTAAATTTTTAAATTGTGGTGAAATATGCATAAACTAAAATGCACCATCATAATAATTTTTAAGTTTTTTTGTTGTTGTTGTTAATCCTCATGCTAGGACACTTTTCCATTGATTTTTAGAGAGTGGGAGGGAGGGGGAGAGACTGAGAGAGAGAAACATCGATGTGAGAGAGACACGTGGATTGATTGTCTCCTGCATGGGGCCCCCGAGGGTGCCTTGGATCAGCCTGCAAACCGAGGTATGTGCCCTTGACCAGAATCAAACCGGGACCCTCAGTCCGCAGGCCAACACTTGAGCGTCGACCAATGAACCAGGAGGTCACGGAGATTCCGGGTCACATGGCAAAAGCCTGGGCTGCGGGTTCGACCTCTAGAGGGGGGGGAAGGAAGGAAGGAACAATTAAACCTTGCAGCTGGGCCCAACCGGCGTGGCTCAGTGGTTGAACGTCGACCAATGAACCAGGAGGTCACATGGCACAAGCCCGGGTTGCGGGTTCGACCTCTAGTGGGGAGGGGAAGCAAATGAATGAAGGAAGGAACAATTAAACCTTGCAGCTGGGCCCAACCGGCGTGGCTCAGTGGTTGAGCGTCGACCAATGAACCAGGAGGTCACGGAGATTCCGGGTCACATGGCAAAAGCCTGGGCTGCGGGTTCGACCTCTAGAGGGGGGGGGCGCATGCTGGAGGCAGACGATCACTGATTTCCTCTCATCATTGATGTTTCTATCTCTCTCTCTCTCCCTCTTTCTTCTTCTCTGCAATCGATAAAAAGATATTTTGAAAAAATCCTAGAAACCAAAAAAAAAGCCCTTGCATTGTCAGGGAGGATTGTAAGCAGCCCGGGAATGCGGGGGCTGAAATGGCCTCCGCTGGCCCCGGCTCAACCACCCGCCCTCCCCGCTGCCTGCAGCTTCGGCCACCTTCGAGGACTTCCAGATCCGCCCGCACGCACTCACGGTGCACTCCTACCGAGCGCCCGCCTTCTGCGACCACTGCGGGGAGATGCTCTTCGGGCTGGTGCGGCAGGGCCTCAAGTGTGATGGTGAGAGGCGGGGCCGGGGGCGGGGCT